GCAGCGGAGGATGACCCAAGTGTTTGGGCGCCTGCACCTGCATGGGAGACCAGGAAGAAGCACCTGGATCCTGGCTTCAGATCGGTGTAGCCCTGGCTGTAGCAGCCATTTTGGGGGGTGAACCAATGGAAGGAAGACGTTTCTCTCTGTCTCTGTCTCTGTCTCTCTCTGTCACTGTCTAGCTCTATCTGTCAAAAAAAAATAGATAGATATCTCAATAGCTTTTTCTAACAATTGATGTTTCTCACAACGAATTCATAATGTATAGAAATAGAAATATACGTGGAACCATACTTATGTCATATGCCTATGTCAAAGGTGAACTGATGGAAATGCATGCATAAATAGGCTTCACTTTAGTAGTCATTGATCATCTGAAGGGCCGCCCTCCAATTCATTACTGAAGCTGCGGCTCCGGTGGGTTTTTCCCACTTGAGAGTTCCTCTTTGTCCTGAGGTCTCTGCAGGACCCGGAGCCTCAGGCTCCACGAGGGGCTGAGGAAAGGCCCCAGGCAGTCCCTGACTCTCAGCGCCCTTGGGTGTGTAACCAGAGAGGGACTCTGTGCTGCTGTTCAGGACAGCAGCTGAGTATCGCTTGGTCCTTTCCTTGTCTGAACTCCCAACAGTGAAGGGAACCAAATGATCAAAACTGCACATTTTTAAAAGAAATATTTATTTATTTGAAAGGCAGAATTAGAGAGAGAGAGAGAGCTATCTTCCATCTGCTAGTATATTCCCCAAATGGATGCTGAGTCAGGCCAAAGCCAAGAGCCAGGAGCTTCTTCCAGGTCTCCCACATAGGTGCAGGTGCCCAAGCACTTGGACCATCCTCAGGGTTCGGATGAGATGGTATCTGAAGCTGTGGCCAGCATGCCATCTTCAGATGGAAGCGGGGTGGGGGGGCATTGGACACCGACAAGACAGGAGCTGGACTGCCACATGAGAGGGGGCGGTTGGCGGCCCTGGGATGCCTCATAAACCACTGCTGGATCAGAAGCAGAGGGGGCCTCAAAACCATGCAGCCAGATAGGAGATGGCTGCAATCCCCACGTGTCCCTTCACCCCAGCCCCAAAGACCCACCCCAGTTGTCAGAGCTTGGAAGTATGCACGTAGATGGGAAATACTGGGCCATTCGGGTACTGTACGTTTCACATCTTGACCTGCCAAGATGTTACTTACAGTAGTTGAGCAATTCCACCTTCTTCAAATCCTTGCCAACCCCTATTTTCTTTTTCTGAGTGTAGCCATTGTAGGTAAGTGTAACGGGGTTCTTCCTCTTGGTTTAGGTTTGATTTCCCAGATGACTATGAGGTTGAACATCATGACCTTATTGAACATCTTTGAGAAGTCTCCTCTTACAAATAAGGTTGTGTGTATTTTTGGTGTTGATTCGTTAGAGTTTTTAATATATTCTAGATACTGATTGGATTTACAGATCTCTTCCACCATTCTAATAGATTGTTTTCACTATTTCAATATTTTCCACTATTTATATAACATCCTTGTCACAGAGCTAAAGGCAGCACCTGGAATGCCCATAGCCTCTATGGGAGTGACTGGTTGAGCCCTGGCTTCTCCACTGTGGTTCAGCTTCCAGCTGATGACAGGCAGCAGGTGATGGCTCCAGTACTTTGGGCAAACTTTTTTTATGGTTTCGTATTTCACTGATCCCTATAACATGAATGACCATTCTTAAGTCAACAAACTTTTTTTTTCTTTGTAAATGAGTTATTGCCAGGCATTTGGCTTCAAAGTAAGCACCTAACATACACTTTGTGCTGGTAAAATGTCTCATTAGGACCTGGCAGATGTAGATCCAGGGACGAACAACAGGACGTCCCTCAGCCAGTCCCACCCCTGTCTATCTCATTGAACAAAAGCAGAATAGAACATGGTAGGTCTAGGGGTTCCCCATCTGTAGGTCGCGAGTGCTGTGGGAATGCAGAATCAGGGCTGTGGACTCTGCAGATACTTTGCTGTTGGCTTTCAGGGAGCAGAGTGGACAAGGCACAGAAACGCCATCAGAGCCAGCCCAGGGAACAGTCATGGTGGGTGCGTTAGGGCCCGAGCCTCTTCGTTTCTTGCCCTCTCCCAGCACCAGACTTATCGCCCATGGGAGCAGGAAGTGACTGAAAGAAATGTACAATTTTTGGGCCGGCGCTGTGGCTCACTAGGCTAATCCTCTGCCTTGCAGCACCGGCACACCAGGTTCTAGTCCCAGTCGGGGCGCTGGATTCTGTCCCAGTTGCCCCTCTTCCAGGCCAGTTCTCTGCAATGGCCCAGGAGTGCACTGGAGGATGGCCCAAGTCCTTGGGCCCTGCACCCCATGGGAGACCAGGAGAAGTACCTGGCTCCTGCCTTCGGATCAGCATGGTGCGCCGGCTGCGGCGGCCACTGGAGGGTAAACCAACGGGAAAGAAAGACCTTTCTCTCTGTCTCTCTCTCTCTCTCTCACTGTCCACTCTGCCTGTTAAAAAAAAAAAAAAGAAATGTACAATTTTCATCGTGTTATTCCCATCACACGGGAAGGACAGGGCTGTTGGAGGCCAGACAAGGAAAGAACAAACTGATGGTTGAGTTGTTCTCAACACTGGAGCTCCCTTCTCTGGCTAGACGAAGGATGGGAGAAGGAGACTCAGGATGTGCCCGGGGTCTCATCTCTGCACGTGTGGGGAGGCAGAAGCACAGCATCCTGCAAGGGCCTCAGGAGACTGAGACAACTCGGGAAAACCCAGGAGGTTTCAGCTCCCGAGAAGCAGTTTTTTTAATTAATTGAAAGCACTTTGTTTTTGTTTTTGTTTTAAGTTTTATTTGTTTATTTGAAAGTCAGATTTACAGAGAGTTAGAGGCAGAGGCAGAGGTCTTCCATCACTGGTTCACTCCCCAAGTGGCCACAATGGTCGGAGCTGGGCTGACCCGAAGCCAGGAGCCAGGAGCTTCCTCCGGGTCCCCTACACAGGTGCAGGGACACAAGCACTTGGGCCATCTTCTGCTGCTTTCCCAGTCCACAGCAGAGCTGGATCGGGAGTGGAGCAGCCGGGTCTTGAACCTGCACATATATGGGATGCGGGCAGCGCAGACAACAGCCTTACCCGCTATGCCACCACACCACCCCCCTGCAAGAAGCAATTTTGGTAATGAGCAGAGGAGGTGTCACTTTAGATCAGCTCCCCCCACCTCCACATGCAAATGACTAGGAAGCTGAAGCCTGTTTACCTGTTTATTTTTGTCGCTCCCCCTCTTCATGGAGGAACGACACAGGACCCTGCGCTGTTCTTTTGTCTGCTCGGCCCTCCCCGGGTTTGCTGCTGGTTCTTCCCGGGTTGGCTACCAACCCTTCCACCTCCGTGGAAGGGCGGTTCCCCCTGCCACTTTCCCCACTTCCGCGGGGGAGCGGCACACCGCTGGCCGGCTCTCTCGGGGGCTGCACAGGTGTTCCTCAGGTGTTCCTGGTGCATGTTGTCTCTCTCCTCCTTTATAGTCCTCTTCCACCAATCCCAACTCTGCTACCCACACGCCGAGTATGCTGCTCTCCTCCAATCAGGAGCAGGTCCTGCTGTTTATTGGTTGAACTGGAGGCAGCTGTGTAGAAGCTGTTTCCTCCTTTCCCAGCGCCATATTGTGGGAGAGCAGATGCATAAAATAAGTCTTAATTCCAGTAACTTAGTCTAGTCCCAGTTGCTCCCAGTTGCTCCCCACATATTTTATTTTATTTTGCCAGGCAGTGTTAAACAGTGAGAGAGAGAGACAGAGAGAAAGGTCTTCCTTCCATTGGTTCACTCACGTAATGGCTATTACAGCCGGTGCTGAGCAGATCAGAAGCCAGGAGCTGGGTGCTTCCTCCTGGTCTCCCATGTGGGTGCAGGGCCCAAGCACTTAGGCCATCCTCCAATGCTGTCCCGGGCCACAGCAGAGAGCTGGACTGGAAGAGGAGTAACCAGGAATAGTACCCAGTGCCCCAACCAGGACTAGAACCTGGGTTGCTGGCGCCGCAGGCGGAGGATTAGCCAAGTGAGCCAGGGTGCTGGCCTACCTGTTTATTTTCATAAGTTTCCTTTTGGTTTGTGTTTTACCCTTAGATACAAATAATTTAGAATACTTTGTCAGAGAAAATAACAGATATATCTGCTACATTTCTGTGCACCACATATACAAACTTTATTGATTTAATCTAGAATATGCTATATATTCCAGCCCATGCTGGTCTCTCCATGTTGTAAAGAGCTTTATTTATTTTTTTTGAAAGAGATACAAAGAAGGAGAGACAGAGAGAGAGATCCCACTTCCACCAGATCACTCCCCCACTTGGCTACAACAGCCTGGCCTGACTCGAGCCATGAGTCAGAAAATGCATCCGGATCTCCCACATGGGTACAGGGGACAACACCCATGGGCCACCTTCTATGCTTTCCCAGGCACGTTAGCAGGGGGCTGGATCAGAAGTGGAGCAGCCAGACTTGACCCAGCACCTATATAGGATGCCCGTGTCGCAGGCGGCAGCCCTCCTGCGTACCCCATAATGCCAGCCCCATGGGCCGGTCTGTCCCTGTGCCGAGGCTGCTCGGCCCCAGACAGCAGGGCCAGTGCTGACGCACACACGGAAGGGAGGTGCAGGGCAGCAGCCATTCCTTGGCAATGACCTCCTCATCCCAGACCAGTGATGCTTAGGAAGGTTCTGGAACCACAGGCTCATCTCCCAGAGCCTCCTGGGATGCCCAGGGAGCACCTGCCTTGCACACCTCTTGAGCCTGGTTCCTAGATCAGGATCTGCCCTGGAGCCTCCTCACTCAGGTCTCCTCTAACTCACAGAGCTCTGAGAGAGCAGCTGGGGCCGGGCCATGTCCCCAGCTGGGCCCCTCGCTCCCATGGCTGCGCCTTCCCACCCTTCCTCCCTCGTGGGCAGAGATGACAGAGTTCCCACTCGGACTGGGGGAGGTGAGGCCACACGAGGGCAGGGACAGGGTGTCCTGGCAGAGGAGGCCCGGAGGGAGGCGTCTGTGGCCAGCACTTGGACTCAAGGCCAGGGCCAGCCCGGAAGGCTCCTGGGTGTTCCAGAGCTGGGGGAACGGAGGCAGAGGTGCCAGCTCCTGCAGCAATGTCCTGGCGGCCTGGGAGTTGGGCTCTGCCCTGGGCCCTGCTGCCCCTTCTCTTCGGCTTCTGTCTGCTGGAGACCTACTCTGTGATTACTGAAGAGCAAAACGACCTAGCCGACCGAAAAGTGATGAACAGTTACCTGCCTGCCACGGTGGAGTTCGCCTTGTACACTTTCAACCAGCAGAGCAAGGACGAGCAGGCCTACAGGCTGGAGCGCATCCTGGCATCCTGGAGGGACAAGGTGGGTGAGGCCCCTCCCTGCTGCCTGCCTCCTGCCTGGGACACAGAGAGGGGCAAGAAGGGGCAGTGGGTTCTGATCAAGGTGACCAGCCTTGCCTCAGCCACCTAACTTGAAGTAGCCCACGGTCAGTACATACAGCCTCATTAAATTGACTTCCCCCTTTAGGAAACATAATATTCAAATTTTTATATTCATTTATAATTATAATTTTTTTCAAAAGTTTATTTATAACTATTAGAAAATTTTCAAAATGTCTGTGTCAGAGTCTGCTGCGGAGTAGATGTCTTACCCAGTCTCCATGATCCCGACGTCGTCACGGGGCTGAAGACTGAAGTCCAGGTAATCACCAGTGAGGAAGAGGACTCCTGATGAGGAAAAGTGGAGGAAGGAAGCTGGGAACGGAGTCGTAAACAATATTAAAGAGTTACGTAGAAAGACAGAGAGCGAGCAAGCCGAGGTCTCCAGGAGCAGGCCTTTCCCACCCGCAGTGCCAGAGCTGCCGGGTGCTCAGAACCTGTCCTCTGATTGGCACCTGCTCAGGCCCCTGGGGCTGTCGCTGCTCAGTGACCCGATCCTGACTGTCCCCTCGGGGCGCTGACTGTCCTCTGTCAACCTTCTGTTGTTGTTGTTGTGGTTGTTGTTTTGCTTTGTTTTGTTTTGTTTTGACAGGCAGAGTGGACAGTGAGAGACAGAGAGAAAGGTTTTCCTTTTCATTAGTTCACCCCCTAGTGGCCACTGCGGGCGGTGCACTGCACTGATCCAAAGCCAGGGGCCAGGTGCTTCTCCTGGTCTCCCATGCAGGTGCAGGGCCCAAGCACTTGGGCCATCCTCCACTGCACTCCCGGGCCACAAGAGAGCTGGACTGGAAGAGGAGCAACCGGGACAGAATCCGGATCCCCAGCTGGGAATAGAATCCGGGGTGCCAGTGCCGCAGGCGGAGGATTAGCCTATTGAGTCACGGCGCCAGCCTCTCTGTCAACCTTCAAACATGACTGTGACATCAACCCGGGCTGGGGCAGGGACAAGGGGTGCACCTGCCTAGCAGGAACCTCTGCAACAGGGGACACGGGACAGGACTCTACCTCGCTCAGCACTGGGAGCCTAGCAGCAGGGCCCAGGACCAACCCTGCCCAGAGCCACAATGCAACCCTCTGAGTGAGTCTGAGGGTTGAGCTGCCCCAGGCGACCTGTACAGGAAGTGTGACCCTGAGCTGCTGGGTCAGGTGGGAGGGTTGAGGCCATGGCTGTCACGTGGTGGAGCACACGGACTGAAGGCAAGAGGATGGCGTGAAAAGACAGACAGAAAAGGTGAAGATGCCTTTAGCATGAGGGCAGAAGGTGTTTCCTGAAACCAGGATGGCACTGTCTGGCTGCTTCCTGAGCCCTGTGGGGCCCTTGGCTATATGTGGGCAGGAGTAAAGACTGACAGTTGGCAGGGTGCCCCGGCTCAATAGGCTAATCCTCTGCCTGCATCACCAGCACACCAGGTTGTAGTCCCGGTCGGGGCGCCGGATTCTGTCCTGGTTGCTCCTCTTCCAGTCCAGCTCTCTGCTGTGGCCCAGGAGTGCAAAGGAGGATGGCTCAAGTGCTTGGGCCCTGCACCTGCATGGGAGACCAGGAGAAGCACCTGGCTCCTTGTTTTGGATCAGTGTGGTGCACCGCCTGCAGTGGCCAATGGGGGTTTACCAACTGAAAAAAGGAAGACCTTTCTCTCTCTCTCTCTCTCTCTTTCTCTCTCTCACTGTCCATTCTGCCTGTCAAAACAAACAAACAAACAAACAAAAAAAAAAGACAGCTCCCTCATACCTGAGATTCCCTTCTCAGAGCCTGAGAGGATTCAGCAAATCCTCAGTAAGCCAGAGACCCCCAAGCTCTGGGTCCCTGCCCTGGGAGGAGGAGGTGGGAGGGCTGAGACACCTGCTGAGCACAAGGCCAGAGTCAATGTGAGAGAGGGGCTGAGGTACAGGATCCAGGGAGGAAGGGACGCCCTGTGACAGCCTGCCTGTGCCTGCCTCCTCCATCAGGCTCACCTGCTCCTCCATCTGAAAGCCCCAAGCAGTGAAGGTCACCCAGGCTTGTACAACAGGAGTCGTTCTAGGCCAAGGGCATGCATTCCCATGGAGGAGGAGTGTGGGTCTCTGCCAGTCCTGAGCACTGTGGTTACTTCCGGGCGTGCTCAGCTGTGTGTCAACTTGAACCTCTTTGTCCTCAGAAACAGTATAATGACATCGTGTTCTCCATGGAACTGTTGCTGCGCCAAACCATGTGTGGAAAACTGGAGGAAGACACGGAGAACCGCCCCAAGCGGAGCCATGTAAGGACTCCCTGTTTCCCATGCCTATGAACTCAGCCTGGGTGTGTGGGGGGCCAGGGGCCCCCCAGCCCTTCTCCGGGATCTGCAGGCCTGAGCCTACAGCAGACACAATCTTACCACCCGTCTGAGTGTCTTCATGGGAGTCTGGCTGGGCTGGGAACCCAGGGCGTCCCTTGAAGGCCCATACCAATCTGATTTCTGACTTGGCCCACTCACGGGCAGGTGCCTGATCCCTGGGCCTCATGGCCTCTGATGGCTCCTCTTGTCCCCGGTCCCAGATCCCAGGCTCCTGTAATGAAGCCCCCTCACTGGTCCTCATTCCCACCGCTCCCCTGCCTGCTGCAAAAGCAGCCCAGTGAGGCCCTGCATCGGGATTTCCAGGGTCTTCTGCACTGACCTGGACACCAGGGAATGAGGCTGAGGGTGTCCCCTCTGTCCACTCTCCAGGCCCTGTCCTGGCCCAGCTGAGCGCCTTATACCAAGGGCTGGTGCTGCTGCAACAAAGGCATCTCTGCCCCACCAAGTGGACCCCATGGTGAGGTTAGCTAAGGGCTTAGCCCGTTGCATGCATTGCAGAGTAGCTGTTGCCTGGAGCAGTGACAGCCTCTCCTCCTGGGATCTGATCCACACCTCTTGCCCTAGTGACGTTCCTGGAGCCTGCTGTCCACGATGTGGCCTGGGAGGGGTGGAAACACTGGTGTCCTTGGGTCTGCAAGAACCCTCAGACCCTGGGGAAGTCAGCAGCTGCCCAGGGGTCGTGCTGTGGAAGCAGGTCTGGGGCCAGGCCAGCAGCCTGGGGAAGGGCCACGTCACCAGGTTGAGCTGGGTGCTGGGTTCCGAGCCAGAGCCCCACGGCCCCCGGCCTCCTAACTCGGTCCCGTCTGTGCTGTGTCCTCAGAGCTTCACCTGCTTCTTCACTGTCCGCACTCTGCCCTGGAAGACCAAGTTTGACCTCTTCAACAAGACCTGCTTGGAGGCCTCCCTGGACACAGACTGAGCTGCACGCCTGGCCAGGCCTGACCTCTCCTCTGGGATAACAGCTCCCACCTCGAGCCTGAGGCTGCTCTTCTGGGCTCAGCAGCTCCGAGCTTCTTTGCTCTCTCTCTCACTGCTGTTCCGGGATTCCTGAGTGGCACCTGGCCCCTGTCCCTGGACTGTCCACTGCTGCCCAGCTTCATGGTGTAGAATCAGTCATTAAACTCGGCGTTTCCCGCTGGGTGAGTGCTGTGCTTCTCTGTACTGGGCTGGGCCGCGATGGTGTGGGTCTCAGCTGGGCAGCCCTGGGGACATCAAGGTTGCAGATCTTCCCCCATGCTGGGCCTCCCCAGGGACTCCAGGGACTCAGCAAATACCCTTCTGAGCTTCTAACTCAGGGCTCATGGAGATGACCCAGGTGGCCAATGTGACGTTCCTGGGCCCTCTGTCCATGATGTGGTCTGGGAGGGGCGGAAACACTGGTGTCCTTGGGTCTGGAAGAATCCTCAGAGCCTGAGGAAGTCTGCAGCTGCCAGGGCGTACTGTGGAACCAGATCTGGGGCCAGGCCAGCAGTGATTGTGACCTCCCAGGGACCCACGGGCACCATGGAGCTCACACAGGGCCTCCCATCCCTCATTGCACCTGTGGAATCTCAGGCATCTCATGGGATCCACGTGTAATTAACATTTCAGACACAGTGACGCCTGCTCCTGTGGACTGCCTGGCTCAGTCTCCTGAGCAGGGTTCAGCATGTACTTCCTGTGAACAGCTGAAGAGTAACCATGTTTGTCACCACCCTGTGTTCTCTTGCCCTCCACGACCATTTCCTCCTGTATGCGATCAGGCATGGCCCATATGTAACAACGGAAGAAAGGCTGTGTTCTAGGGAGACTATTCACACAAGGCAGCATGGGGCTGCCACAGCCCCTGGGCCATCATGGCCAATCCTTGCCATTCAGCCTCTCGGGGTGCAGGCACCTGCAATTGGGCCCCAAGCACCCACAACTGGCAGCTCCTACCACATCCCCATGACTTCACCGGCTCAGCCCAGGGCTTCTCCGTGCAGCTGGAGGAGCTCTGTCTGCAGAGAGGTGTTCCCCGTGAGAGTGGGCAAGCTCACATGGCAGGCCACACTTCCACTTTTGGGTGTGGGGCACATGAGTGTCTGGTGCTCCCAGCCTCGGGGCACCCAATTCCGAGGCAAATTTCCCATGGGATTGTTGAGCATCCCCAGCAGAATAAATTCTTGTGCTCCCTGCCTTGTGAGCCGTGGATCATGCATGCATCCCTGAACACATCCGTCTGTGATTCCAAGTCCACATGGGGAGATCCCGGACACGATGTGAGCTGTGGTGGGGCCATCATGGCCTCCATGGAGACAGCTGCTGCATCCTCCCCAGAGCTCTTGGTCCCAGGTACCATGACATGGGAACCGGGCATGGGCTCCCTCACTGCACACCCACCCTGCAGAAGGGACACAATGCTGCTCTTGGTCCCCTCAGGACTCTAGATGGCCCACATCTGCCTCATCCTAGACTTCATCAGGGTTTTCTTTATGCCACCCCATTGCCTGCTGCCACCCTCACTCTTCCCCTGGATGATTGACTGGCTCGATTGCAGAGCCACACCCAGCTGAGCCCACCTCCGCTGAGTCCAACAGTGCTTTCCACTGGGCGCCCCCACTCACTGCATTCCAACTCCTCAGCGGCTGTCAGGACAGGGTCTTGGCTGGGTAGGTGGGTGGGGTCAGTCCTTTGGGGCCGTTCTCGTTCAGAATCCAACCTAAGCAGAGCCTGCCTTCCTTGCACAACTAACCTACAAGCTGCCTTCCGGATACCGGCTCCTGAATGAGATTCCATGTTGGGTGTTTGTCAGTTCCTGCACTCCCGGGAGGGGGTTTCCACTGTTTCTCCAGGGTCCCGAGCCATGTTGTGTCCTGGTGTCTCTGGCCGCCTGTGAGCACTTGGGAAAGAACCCCCTCCCTGGCCTTGACCATTGGTGCTTTCCTCCTACAAGCGGCCACCTGGCCCTTCCTCTCTCCAGGGTCCGTGTAGGGCATGACCAGAGAATCAGGTCTCCGGATGCTGAGGGAGGCCATGCTGCAGACGCCTGGACAAACGCCGTGTTAGTAGACAAGACCAGAGACGGGCTGGGAACACCGGGTCAGCAGCATCTCCCGGCCTGAGTTTCAGGAATGCAAGGGGCCAGTGTAGCATCATGAGCTTCCTCCTCCTTCTTGAAAATCAGCTGTCGCCCTACTCTGCACCCTGCTTTGCTTCCAGCCCCAATTCCCCAAGCATTTACACGGGGGTGACAGCCTCTGCTAGACTGACCCCAGAGGAATGCGAATGAAATCAAATGAGGCATTCGAGGAAAATAGAAAAATCGAATTAGCTCCACGCGCTCTTGTTTCGCACTGTGGCCCCCTTACCTGCAGCAAGGACATATGGACATGCTTCTCGTCTTTTCCATGGGGCCGGGGCCCAGGGAACAGCCCTGGAGACATTCAATGTGGAACTGAACACAAAGCAACAAGGATTGGGAGACCTCAGTGAGATAGGCGAGGGACAGAGGTAGAGTCAGCCTGGGGATCGGGGACCACATCCCAGCCGTCAGCAGGTGGCACAAAATGAGGACCCTCCTGCAGCCCCACAGGGCAGAAAGCTGAAGGACAAGTGCATCCCAAGAGCGCTGGAAGCCTCAGCTTTGTCTTACCCACAAAGTACAAACCCTCACAGCCTCTGAAGCAAACCCCCACCCCCAATCCCTTAATACACTTGGCAACCCGAACCCCAGCAGGAGTACTCCCTGAGTTTGCTTCAATAGAGTTTTTAGTTTCAATTGGCATCAACAACTATGTATATTGACCAGGCAATGGTGTGGTATTTCAAAGCATGGGTGTATACAAGGTGTAATGGTCAGATCAGATCACTGGGATGGCTGTCCCCTCAGCTGTTTGTCTTAGAAGCAGTTAAATTCCTAGTAGCTCTGTGGAAATAACACTCTGGAGCATAGCTTGTCCAGTGGCAGCCCTGCACCTGCTGATGCCTCTCACTCCAACTCCCATCCTCCACCCCGCCCCAGGCTTGGGAACCCCCTTAGAGTCTCCACTTCCTTGACATGTAACTTTTGAGCTCCCCACACCTAGGGGAGAACAATGAAGCTATGCTCTCTCTGGGCCTGACGTTTCTTTTAACATAGCTTCCTCCAGTTCATCCCTGTTGCTACTGAGGACATAACTTCATTGTTTTATATCTGAATGATGTTCCACTGTGCGGAGAACACCTGCCACATTTTCATTATCCATCCATCATCCAGGGCCCCTCGGTTGATTCCCTGTCTGGACTACTGGAAACAGTGCTGCAGTAAACATGGGGATGTAGTCAGTCCCTGGACACACTGACTTCCCTTCCTTTGAATCTCTACCTAATAACGGTAGTCCTGCTTAGAGGTTCTGTGGGAGTTCCCTGTTGTTTTTCCTAATGGCTGTTCTACTTTAAGTTACTATGTAAGGTCCTCTCCTTTTCCTCTCTGCAAACTACTCATCAGCTATGGAAAAACAATGACAGGGTGTGAAGAGAGGGAAGGATGAGGATGACCACGCTGGCTGAGCGAGCCCTGGTGTGACCGAGACAACAGAGGGGCCAGCAGGGAAGGCAACTCACGTGTTCTTGTGTCCCCACATCCCCTCTTGCCTCCATGCTCACGTAGAAACATTGCCAGCCACGGCTCAGTAACAATACAGATATTCCATGAACCAAAGAACTGTCTTGATCCAGGTGGGTGTGCAGGGGCCAGGCCCTTTGGCTGAGCTGAATCTAAACCAATGTGCTGCTCACTTCATATTGAAAGGAGCCAAGAGCCACCATAAAAAAATGGGGCTCCTGAGACAAACCGTTCCAGAGACGGCCTTGGGAAATGGGGAGTAAACCGGTTCACAGAGAAAGCAGTCAGCTACTAACCAGAGATACACAGAACACCTGCCTTGTAGATAAGCCCCTTCCCTACGCTTGCTCAAGGTTAACAAAGAAAGCTGCAAGGCACGTAGCAACCTATTCCTCTCTCCTAGAGACCCCCTCCCCTAATGTATCCCTTTGACCTAGTACTTTTCCACCGACATTACCACTTTTAGACTGCCATACAAGGCCCGCTACTGAAAATTATCCAATGAACTTACGCCAGCCTATAATATGTTAATTTTGTGGTTTTGCCCTTTAAAAGTTGTGTGAGATAGCTGCTGGGGCTCCTCTCGCTTGCTTGCTGCTTGCAGCAGTAGAGGGCCCATTTGTACAAATGAAATAAAGTTACCTCCTGCTCTATTGCATCGTCTGGTCCGGAGTCTGTGTTTCTGGGGTCGTCACAAGAGGACACCGCTTTTGGGGTCCTACAATATATGGGCAGTAAGTCCTGTTTGACCCCACGTCATAGGTGTTGTGGGTGAGATGGAAGACCAGGTGCTCAACTGGACCTTGTGGGTTCAGCAGAGAGAACCCCTCCTTACAGGTGTTCATGGGATTGGTCAGCCCCAGCCAGGGACAAACGAACAAAAGCCAGGGTGTGGGAGCGGGTACTCATACTCCTCATGCTGGGGGCAGAGGTAGGCAGAAAAGGTGCGGTTTGCAGGTACTCTGGGGAGCAGCAGAGTGAGCCTCACCCCCCTCTCCGCCCCCGGGGCCGGGGGAAAGCATGTGAACAAGAATTGCTTAATGGTGTCTGCAGAACACAGGGGTGCAGAACAAAGCCCAGAAAAGCACCCCTGGAGCCAGCCTCCCCATGAAGGGAGACCCCAGGATGCCCCCACCTGAGCCTCACATTATGTGAGTTCCCCCAGAAGCTAAACCTGAGACACAAATTCAAGTGCAAGTAGCTGATTCAGAAGTGACCCCAGAAAGCACCTGAAGGGTAACACAGGAGGCAGCCTGTGATGGGGTGGGTCACGGTGTGGACAGCTGGGGCTCCAGCTTGCCAAAGAACGGGGTCAGTGGGCTGGGGTGTTTATCCTATGGATTGTGCCACCAGCTGAGAGCCCCTGCCAGGGGCACCGCCTCCTGGATGCACCTGCCTGCCTCTCACTGGCAAAGCAAGCCCTGAGGGGCAGAGATTCTGACAGAGGCAGTGAACCTTCCCGAGAAGAGCCCTGGCCAAGGACTCAGAAGCAGCTCGGGACCTCAGCAGCTCTTTCCCGCATCTGGGCTGCATCCTGGCCCTAGCTGCCTGGCTGGGCCTCCATCTGCTGCACCACCACTCAGTCTCCACAGCTAAGGTCCAGGAAGGGCCTGTTTCAGGCCAGGCCAGCTCCTTCTTCACCTGGGCTCCCTTCAGTGACTCCCGCCTCCTGGTCTGTACATTCTCAGGGAGCAGGGCTTGGTCGGGGTGACCAGCAGCACCAGGAAGAGGAGATGTCTGTGCGACATCTAAAGCTTGGGGACAAAGGACGTTGTGGCTCCTGTCTTAGTCTCTGGGGCCACTCCGTCTGGAGGAAGCTGGCCACCCTACCGAGCACCCATGCAGCCCGCTGGAGAGGTCAGAGAAGGACAGTGACATCTGGTCAACAGCACCCTGGGAGTGGGCAGCCTCCGAGGCAGATTCCCCAAAGCCAACCAAAGCTTCAGGTGGTGGTGCAAGGTCCACACCTGAGCATGACCTCATGAGAGGCGTTCTGGAGGCACAAGGCTAAGCCACCTCCGATTCCTGGCTCACAGACACCACGACAGATATAAAGAAAGTGCATGAGGGGCCGATGCTGTGGCACAGCTGTTAGAGTCACCAGCGTCCCATACAGGCACCAGTTTGAGTCTCAGCTGTTCCACTTCCAATCCAGCTCCCTGCTAATGCATCTGGAAAAGCAGTGGAAGATGGCCCAAGTGCTTGGGCTCCTGCACCCCTGTGGGAGACCTGGAAGAAATGCCTGGCTCCTGGTTTCGGATCGGCCCAGCTCCAGCCATTGCAGCTATTTGGGGAGTGAACCAGCAGATGGAAGACCAACCTCTCTCTGCCTCTCTCTCTCTGACTCTGTGTAACTCTGCTTTTCAAATAAATAAATCGTTTATAAAGAAGTGCTTGAGCTACTAACTGGGTGATTTCTCACGCATTAGATAACATCCAATTGTGAACACACACACATTCTCACACATACACACATTCACACACACACCCATACATGCACTCACATGCACCACACACATACACACCCATGATTCACATACACTCACACTCATGTGCACCACACTCACACGCATAATTCACACATACACTCATACACCACACTCATATGCTAACACACTCATGTGCATCACACTCACAATTCACGATACACTCACACTCATGCACCACACACACTCATATGCACCACTCACACACACATACACACACACTCACGTGTACCACACTCACACACTCACACACACACTTGGGCTTCTCTCCATGCACGATTCCTCTTGCACTCTTTTCTGCCTCCATTCCAAACCAACCCAAATCTCCATAGGGCACACGTCTGTCTATAGTTGTGTCTGGGGTTAAGCTCCCCTGTGCTAGGCTGCTGGGCTGCCTCTCCCCAGGGAGTCCTGGGAAGAGAGTTTCCTGTGGAAACCCACGGGTGGCAGCAGGAGCCCCAGCACCGTGTGGAAAGTGCCCGCCAGGCTTGAGGCCTCTGAGGTCGCATATCCTGAAATCCATGTCAGAGAGCAGCAAGCCACGCTCTGAGCTTGGCAAGGTGTATAAACAATGTCACTTTATTGAAAACAAGTTGTTCTTTTGAAAGGCGTGATGCCTTTTCACACGTGCCCGTCCATGAGAAGGCTCCACATTGGCCCAAGAGAACACAACGCGATGACGTCAACAGGTCCTCCATGCCATGTGGATGTCTTGCAAATTTCCTCACTTCTTAAAAACGGGAGCGAGTGAGGCTGAACGTGCTAGGACCTAATTAGACATCTCGGCATTTTTTCTTTAGCATGGTGAGTTCAAATTTCCATGGCTTGGAACTCACAATAAAGGTACACAAAAGCATCTAAGAGGGACAAAAAAAAAAATAGTTAGCTTGTCCAGGGATGGGGAGCAGAAAAATAAAAGCCAAGCTTTTATTTGCAGGTCCGAGGACTTGGCTCCAGGAGGGCTAAGAGGCTGTCCCAGTCAGCCACAGCAGCCACCGTCCCTGGAGCACCTGGAATCTGCCGGCAGAAGAGCCAGCCTCACCCAGCATGACCGGTCCTCAGCAGTGCACCTGCTGTTATCTTGGCCACCATGGATGGGCATGACGTCATCTGCTCCAGCAGAGTGAGGATCTTCCTGTCTGCAGCTCTGCCTTCTTCCTCACCTGACGTCCACACAGCCCATGGAGAGCCTGAGCTACAAGGCAGGCTCAGCGGCTCCTGCCCCGAGGAGGTTAACAGTGCAGGGATGTGCATGCCAGAATGAAACTGGGAGACCAGGGAGGGGACACATAGATCCAGTACCGCAATCCTGCAGAATCAGTGGAGTTTCAGGCTCACCGCTGGGGCTGCACACACTTGCTTCCCCCTCTCCGCCCACAAATCATACATGAGAGAGATGCAAGGACACCCCCCTGATATCAGTGGGAGCAGTAAGAGCAGGTGGAAGTGCGTCCGACACACACAGATGTAGGGGCAGTCCGAGGGACAGAGCAGGACAGCCCCAGGCAACCCTGATGGGTCACTGAGAAACAGAGCCCAGGCTTCTTTGGGGGCACCCAGGAGGGGGTCACCATGGCGGTGGCAGGAAGGGAGAACATGTGCTTTGGACTCATCAGTGGGTCACCTGACTCACTGCGTAACTTTTGCACCTGCTGAGGTAGGCAGAATACAGGAAGCAGAGGAAATGCGGCCCCAATTACTGGATGTGTATTAAAACTCTATAAGCTGGCCGGCGCCGCGGCTCACTAGGCTAATCCTCCACCTTGTGGCACCGGCACACCGGGTTCTAGTCCTGGTCAGGGTGCCGGATTCTGTCCCGGTTGCCCCTCTTCCAGGCCAGCTCTCTGCTATGGCCCGGGAGTGCAGAGGAGGATGGCCCAAGTCCTTGGGCCCTGCACCCACATGGGAGACCAGGATAAACACCTGGCTTCTGCCTTCGGTTCAGCGCGGTGCGCCGGTCGCAGTGCGCTGGCCGCAGCGGCCACTGGAGGGTGAACCAACAGCAAAAAGGAAGAACTTTCTGTCTCTCTCTCTCACTATCCACTCTGACTGTCAAAAAAAAAAAAAAAAAAACTAACAACAACAACAAAAAAAACTACTATAAGCTGGGGCAGGCATTGTGCCCAGTGGGTTAAGCCTCCACTTACAACATTGGCATCCCAAACCAGAGGGACTGTTTGAGACCTGGCTGCTCCACTTCTGATCCAGCTCCCTACTAATGCACCTGGGAAATCAGCAGAATGGTGACCCAACTGCTTGGTCCCCTGCCACTCATGTGGGAGACCTGGATGGAGTTCCAGGCTCCTGGCTTTGGCCTGGCCCAGCTCCAGCCTTTTCAGCCATTTGGGATATAAACCAGCAAATGGAAGCTTTCTCTCTCTCTCTCGCTCTCTCTGCCTCTACCTTCAAACAAGTAAATAAATCCTTTTTTTTTTTTAAATGACTTAGGCCAGTGCCACGGCTCAATAGGCCAATCCTCCACCTGCAGCGCCGGCATACCGGGTTCTAGTCCCGGTCAGAGTGCCGGATTCTGTCCTGGTTGCTCCTCTTCCTGTCCAGCTCTCTGCTGTGGCCCGGGAGTGCAGTGGAGGATGGCCCAAGTGCTTGGGCCCTGCACCTGCATGGGAGACCAGGAGAGGCACCTGGCTCCTCACTTCAGATCAGCACAGTGCACCGGCCACAGCGTGCGGGCCGCAGCAGCCATTAGGCGGGGTGAACCAACGGAAAAAGGAAGACCTTTCTGTCTCTCACTGTCCACTCTGCCTGTCCCCCCCAAAAAATGACTTAATAAATTAATAGTTTATCTACCATGAATTCACTTTCTAGTTCACTTTCTAGATGTAGTTTGACATCGTCGTGGTGGCCATTATTCATTAAAGTATGAAGATGTTTTTATTAAAATATACCCGTGAAATATATCTGAAGACTGTGCCAGCCTAGGTACACACTGAACAGGTGAAAGCTGGATTGGAATGACATCTATGAGAATACTGCTAAGCCAACTTCGAAAGCGTGAAACAGTAAGTTCTGGCAAAATACACAAAGTGATCATCAGTTGCTTAAAACGAAAGGGGAGAGGAGGAAAACCTGTATCAACCTAGGTAATTGTAGAGTGCAATTATCTTGACATCCACACCAACAATCCCGTGGGTAACTCCTGGGGAGGGGCGGGGTTGAAGCCACATCAACGATGTGCCATGGCTTTCATCACTTACAGTTTGGATGAGATTGAAGTTTTAGAAAACATTGCATGTAAATCCCCAATGGCCCTGGTGTTCAACTATGAGGTCAGAAAGGGAATTCCTGACCTAGGCTGGCCCCTTTGTGACCAACAGCCCCACCTGCGACTGCCCAGGACAAGCAGGAAAGTTAGCACAGGATCCACTGTTGGGCAGGTACGGCCACCAGGGAGGGAGTCTTAGGGGGTCCTAAGGCTCGGTGGGCCTTGATCACTGCACCCAGACAACTGAGACTAGCGAGCCCAGAGCAGAGTGACAAAGGTGCCTGGCCGGCCCCCTGCTATTTCAGGTGAGGCACCGTGTCTGTAAGTAAAGCACCCATCTAGAACATTCTCTCCCCTGCCCACCCCAAAGGGGACTGAACAGCAGACCACAGCCCAGAGAGAAGAATGCTGAGAAATGATGAATTGGTTTTTGTTAGGCTGTGTATGTGTGCATGCATGCATGTGTGTGCATGTGTGTGCATGTGCACATGCATGTGTGCACATGTATGCATGTGTGTGTCTCTGTGTGTGCACATGCATATGTGCGTGCGTGTGTGAGTGTATGCATGTGTGTGTGCATTTGTGTTTGTGATTACGCATGTGTGTGAGTGTGTGCATGTGTGTGGTTGTATGTGTGTATGCGTGTGTGTACGATTGTGTGTAGCATGTGTGTGCATATGTGAGTGTGCACATGCATGTGTGTGCACTCGTGTATGCAAGTGTGCATGTGTGTGAGTGCGTGCGTGTGTGTATGCACATGTGTGAATGTGTGCAGGGGTTTGTGCTGCTGGGGTGGAGGAGGTTGGTATCAGCAATAGATAATCAAAATCGTGCTCTGGAATTTGGTTGTCCACAGTCCTGAGCGCAGGACTGAAAGCAGAATTGGCCTGACCAGTGTCCTCTGCTCCAGGTCCTCTTGCTCTCTTGTCTCAGCCACATACCTTTTGCATTTTGGGATCTTGTTGAAATAAGCAGTTTTCATTGTCCCCCGAAATTTTCTTGCACATGGTTCGGGCAATTTTGACTTCAAGAAGGTAGTCCAAGCTATCCGTGATCTGGCAAGGAGCAGTTTCACAGTTAGACATCCTGGGAGAATACTGAGTGTGGACGACCATCCTTGGGAGACAGGAGAATCCTGCCTGGGGCAAAGAAGCTCCCTCTCCCTCCCCCTCTTGCCAGACACTTGGGATAATTTGGGGTGGGCGTGAGGGATTTGTACCTTGGTGTTTCTGTCTTAGTCTTTCTTCCATTGTAGTATTTCATTTTAAAGTAATGGCAACTGTCCCCAAGATAACGCAAGAAAACCATTCCCCAAAGCATGTTTTCCTGGAACAACCTCTCCTTCTCTGTGTAACTCTGACTTCCAAATAAATAAATCTTTAAATATATTTTAAATATATATAATATAAATATAATTTATATAAATATAAATATATATAATGCAGAAGAGTATACAAAGCATGTCAGGAATATAAAATACAGCTTTAAAAATTTCAGGAATACATACTCACATAAGTTCACAGAAAATATCTGGAAGGACTGAGAAAACTACTTTTTGGCTGCCCTTAGAAATGAGAAGCCAGTTTTAAAATGCAAGAAATTTTTGCTGCACGCAGTATAGCAAATAAAGCAGTGCCTGCAATGCCAGCATCCCAATATGGGTGCTGCTTCGAATCCCAGCTGCTCCACTTCCACTCCAGCTCCCTGCTAATGTGCCTGGAAAAAGCAGCAGAGGACGGCCCAAGTGCTTAGACCCCTGAACCTACATAGGAGACCCGGATGAAGCTCCTGGCTTGGAGCTTTAGGGAATGAAGTGCTCGCTTGCTCTCTCTCTCTCTCTCTCCACCCCTCTGTAAGTCTGCCTTTCAAATGCATAAGTAAATATTTAAGAAAGAAGAGTTTTAAAAGATATTTATTTTTCAAAGGCAATGAGACAGAGAGAGAGAGAGAGAGAGAGAGAGAGAGAGAGAGAGAGAGTCTTCCATCAGCTTTTTTACTCCACAAGTGCATGAAACAACTGGGACCAAGCCAGACAGAAGCCAACATCCTGGAACTAAGTCCAGGTCTCAGGCAAGGATCCGGCTCATCTCCTCTCTTCTGAGCTGGATCAGAAGTGGAACAGCCAGGACTCGAACCAGCGCCCAAATGGGATGCCGGCACTGCAGGTGGCTGTTTAACCCATTAGACCACAAAGCCAGCCCCCAAAACAAAGTCTTCTAACCCAGACATCAGCTACTAAAAACAGGCACTGCACACCTGAGCCCCCTGTGGTAGTCAGCGTCCACCAGGTTTTGATTCAGCCACCATGGGTGACACATCCCCTGGCCGCGGGTATCCTTTGTCCAAGAAAGACAAAAATCAGCAGCAGGCCCACAGAGAGTCAGAGGGAGCCAAGGTCGCAGAGAGCGAGGTGAGGTGGCCGAGGCCTGCACCCCAGCCTCAAAGGGGACACAGCCTCTGAATGAAGGTGAGAAGACAGGACGCCTGGTGATCTGGGGACATGGACGGGGAACTTAGGTAAAGGAAGGGAAGATGGCAGACAGGGGATGAGCCGGTGAGGAGGAGGAGAAGCAGGAGAATGAGCACTATGCTGCTGTCACCATCGGTGCCACCACAAGCTGAGCCCCGTGTCGCCCTCCTCGCCTCTGTGACTCCAGCCCCACTGACCTAATCCCAGACCCTCCGTATGCTGCGCTGAGACCCTTCTCAGGCTCCTGCCCAGCCACAGTGCAATCACCTCGCCTGGACAAGCCAGCACCCCAATTGGCTCCCTGGTCCTGCCAGGATCCTTGCTAAATCCTTGCCAAGTTTTTCCTATTTAAATCCAAGAGACGACACAGGACCACACACTGTGTTCAGCTGTCACGGTTCTGTCGCCTGCTTTAACGGGGACCCGGTTCTCAGCACGTTCGTTCCCTGTCTTTCCGTGACGTTGGTCTTCCTAAGCAGTCTTATATTAAACGTCCTCTACCACATGCAGGGCAGATATTCTGGGAGATGACTGCTCAGCCGTGTGCTGGGTGAGAACGACTGGGTGCCGACAGACCATGGACAGGATGGTGCTTCCCTAGGATTCTGTCACTTGGTGACACTGGACCCATCTCCGTCTGTGTACAGACACTCTGTGATGTCAGCGTAAGGGTGACGTTGCTGAGTAGCACGTTTTGCAGAACATAGAGCTGACCAGGGGCAGATGCTGTGGTCCAGAGGGTTAAGTCGCCGCCTGCAATGCCTGTACCCCATATGAGCGCCAGTGCAAGGGCCAGCTGCTCCACTTCTGATCCAGCTCCCTTCGAATGCTCCAAGAAAGCAGCAGAAGATGACTCAAGTACTTAGACCCCTGTCACCCACGTGGGACACCTGGAGGAAGCTCCTGGTTCCTGGCTTCTGCCTGGTGTGGCTCTGACCATTGTGGCCATTTAGGGAGTAAGCCAGCAAGATATCTCTGTGTGTGTGTGTGTGTGTGTGTGTAGATAACCAAATCAAATAAGTAAATAATTTTTAATCTTTTTTTAAAGATTTTTTTTTTTCAAAGAGCTAGAGAGAGAGAGAGAACGGTCTTCCATCCGCTGGTTCACCCCGCATCTGGCCAAAACGACTAGGACTGGGCCAGGCCAAAGCCAGGAGCCAGAAACTTCCAATCCAGCTCCCTGCTAATGCACCTGGGAAAGCAGTGGGAGATGGCAGCCACCCACGTGACAGATCAGAATGAAGCTCCTGGCTCCTGGCTTTGTTGCAGTCATTTGAGAAGTGAATCAGCAGATGGAAGATTCTCTCTCTCTCTCTCTCTCTCTCTGACTTTCAAATAAATAAAACAAACCTTTTTAAAAAGGGAAAAAATAAAAAATAAAAATAGATTGCTTCTTAAATGCCCCAGGTTTTGATGACCCCTTAGAGTAACTCATCACTGAGTTCTGCCTGTGTGTATATGAATTGCACGTGCAAATGACCTTGGTTTTTGTTTTAAGAAAATGAATGCAGTCTGGCTAACAGCCACTCTCAGCACTTTTCCACCCCTTGTCCCAGAGCCATCCGTCAACAACGGGTCGGGTCGGGTCCTGTCCTGACTTAGGGTGGGGGATGGGAACGCAAAGAGCAGAGTGGACACGAACCTGCTCCTGGGACTTGAGAACTTCCGTGACCTTGAAGATGTACTTGTCGTTGTTGGCCTTGTTATACTCTTGCATGGCGAACCACAGGGCCTGCTGCACGTACACGTAGCTCTGGGAGATGTCTTGGAATTCCCTCACCACCTTCGGGGAGCCCCAGGCTTGGACACTTCGGGACACGAGGGCCACCATCACCACCAGCAGCAGCAGGGTGTGGTGGAGTCTGGCCATGCTCCCTCAGCCAAGGGGGTGCAGGCCAAGTTCCTTCCCTGGGGCTGGGGCTGGGGCTGGCTGTGAGCTGGGCACCCAGCCTCTTCGCACTGTTGCTGGTTAAAGGAAGGAGCCATGTTAACACTGCAATATGATAAGAAATACAGTATTTTTTCACGTTAACAGAGCACAGAAGCCCTTAGAACTTCCTGGGCGCCAGCAATCCCCTTCCAGCCACCCCTGAGTCTGTGCTGATGAGGTGATTCTGATGGGCTGGCCCCATGCTAGCCATGATGGGTGCTGGCTGCCAGTTGCCATAGGAACCAGCGGTGTCAGGAGAGACCAGAACACTGAGTCCCACCCTGAACCTCTAGGGAGGAACGTGGGGTGGAGGTCACGCCTGCACCATGGAGCCTCGCGAAAACCCCAAACAACCGGGTACAGAGAGCTTCTGGGCTGCTGAAGGCACAGATGCTAGGGGGTGGTGCAGCCGCAGGGGTACAAGCTTCGTGCACCCCCGTCCTTCCTCTGTGAACCCTATATTTCTCCATGTACCCCATCCTTCCTCCGTGTACCCCACATTTCCTCCCATGTACCCCATCTTTCTTTATGTACCCCACATTGCCCCGTGTACCTCGTCTTTCCCCTCGTACCCCCGTCTTTCCTCTGCACATCTCTCCATCTGGCTGTTCCTCTGCATCCCCTAGGCTGCCCCTTGTAATACACTGGTGCTAGCAAGCAAAGTGCTTCTCTGCAGGTTGTGAGGTGTGGTAGGAAAGCAGAGCGGCTGAGGAGGGGGTGGGGGAAGTGTGAGCAGCTGGGGAACCCAGCACCTGCTTGGTGTCTGGAGCGAGCAGAAGTCCCGTGGGACTAAGCACCTCATCAGCAGGGTCTGGGGAGTCGGTGTCAGAATTTAATGGGGGGCTGGCACTGTGGTGTAGCAGGTAAAGCCACCGCCTGCAGTGCCGGCATCCCATATGGGGGCCGATTCAAGTCCCGGCTGCTCTACTTCCAATCCAGCTCTCTGCTGTGGCCCGGGAAAGCAGTAGAAGATGGCCCAAGTGCTTGGGCCCCGGCACCCACGTGGGAGACATGGAAGAAGCTCCTAGCTCCTGACTTAACCATCACCCCAGTTCCAGCCACTGCTGCCATTTGGGGAGTGAACCAGTGGATGGAAGACCTCTCTCTCTCTCTCTCTGCCTCTCCTCTTTCTGTGTAACTCTTTCAAAGAAACAAATAAATCTTTAAAAAAAAAAAAAAAGTGAGGCTGTGGAGAAAACAGGGCCTGGAGTCGCTGATTTCCCCAAAGCCTTTCCAGGGTCTGGGGGAGAATCATCCTCAGGTCTCTGTGCAGGTCTCAAAACTGCTGAGTTCACCCTTTCCCCAATCAGCTATAAAGTAACAACTTTTAGGATGGAGGTACTCCCTGGGCCCCACAGAGTGAGCACCTCCTTTAGGAAGAGGGGGATTAAGGACTCCTAAAACAGCCAAGCAGAGCCTGGCCCTGTGGCTCAAGCAGGTTACGCTGCTGCTGGTGAGGACAACATCTCATATATGAGCACCAGTTCGCGTCCTGGCTGCTCCACTTCTGATCCAGCTCCCTGTCAATGCACCTGGGAAAGCAGCTGAAGATGGCCCAAGTGCTTGGGCTCATGCCACCCACGGGGGAGTCCCAGATAGAATTCCAGACTCCTGGTTTCAGCCTGTCCATCACTGGCCATTGTAGCCATTTGGGAAAATGAACCAGCAGATGAAAGATATCTCTCTCTCTCACTTTCTCTCTCTCTCTCTCTCTCTTACCCATCCTACATCATTCTGCTTTTCAAATAAATTAATAAATCGTTTATTTTATTTGACAGGCAGAGAAACAGAGTGAGGTAAAAGAGAGAGAGCAAGAGAGACAGAAAAGTCTTCCATCCACTGGTTTACTCCTCAGATAGCCACAATGGACAGAGATGAGCCGATCCAAGGCCAGGAGCCAGGAGCTTCCTCTGAGTCTCCCATATGGATGCAGGGGCCCAAGTACCTGGGCCATCTTCTACTGCTTTCCCAGGCCATAGCAGAGAGCTGGATCAGAAGTGGAGCAGCTGGGACTCGAACTGGCGCCCATATGGGATGCCAGAGCTGCAGGCTGGGGCTTTACCTGCCATGCCACAGCACCGACCCCAAATAAACAAATAAATCTTTTGAAAAGAAGTCGTGCAAATGCCCACAGCTACTTGGTCAAAGCACCCGTCTCTTAACTTGCTGCCTGCCCTAGTCCTGCCTTTCAACCTGCCTCATGTGGAGATGAGAAATCAGGCACCAAACCAGGTAAGATGTGCTAAGTGCAGAGAGTTGAGTGAATCAGCAAACAGCTGGAGAGACACAGGCAGGAGTCCCAAAGAAAGAGGAAGTAGAAAATGGAGCCTATCTAAGTTGAACATAGAACATGATGACAAAGGGGGGGGGGGGGGGCAGGGAGAGAGAGATTCCTGATAATCAATGGGTATTAAATCCAAACTCATGTAGCCAGAATATCTCCAAGGTCTCAGTTCAGCCACCCTCTGATGTCACCATTCTGATGTCACCCATGTAACCTCCCCAACAAACACACATCAGCTTCCTAGCTGGGTAGGCTTCTCCCCGGAAACGCTAGCCTGTATACGCATGTCCACTAAACACATGTGGGGTACAGAGCCACAGGCTCCGTGTAACGCCACCATGGGGGATGGAGCTGATGTAGCAGAGAGGTGAGAAATGCAGCCCCCGAGTGCAGGAAACGTGGTCTTTCCACCACCAGCAGCATGTGTCCTGTGTCCTAAGTGTGCTAATCTGCTCTGTGCCATTGCCTCCCTTCTCACCCCATGCATTACACTGATTTGATAAAGCTGGAATCTGAGCAGCTACGTCTGGGCTGGTGGCCTGTTGTTCCACGATGCTATGGTTTGGATGTGGTTTGTGCCGCCAAAGGGCCATGGGTTAGAGTCTTGAGCCCCCAGTGCATCTGCTTCTGGAGGTGGTAGACCCTTAAGAGGCGGGGTTAGTGGGAGGGCATCAGAGCAGTAGTCCTCACGTGACCCCAGTTGGTGGCCCCAAGAGTGTGTTGTTAGAGAAGAGCAAGACTCCCCAGCTCTCAGGCTCCCTCTCCTGCACCCATTCCTGCCGTGATGCCAACAGCCATGATGCAAAATCCGAGAAGTCCCCCAGAAAAGGCTCTCTCTCTCTCAAGGGGGCTGTCCCATCTCAGAGCCTCCAAAACCCCGAGCCCAATAAGCCTCTTGTCTCAGATTGCCCAGACACATGTGTTTTGCTACAGCAGTGGGCGAGAGAGACAAACACGCATGATCCCTGGACGCCTGTACCCTGGGCACACATGACACAGCCAACCACAGACCCACCTCAGGACCAAGCTTCTGGCTACGCTCCTGGCTGCTGGGTCTTGAGCCGATTGTTCCGACCCACAGGTGGAATCTTCTCTCTCGTGAGCACTTAGGCTGCCTGGGACCCCCCCTGCCTGGCTGCTCTGTCCTCAGCACGCTCAGGAGTCCCCAGCATGCATCACGCCAGGAGTTCATGGGGCCTGTGAGCTCAAGAGCCTACCTGCTCGCTGGCTTTGTCCTCTGGCCAGGTGGTCACACACCTGCGGCGCCTTTGTGAGGTCAGCCCAGCCCCTCTGATGCTGCTCAAGCAAGAGCAACTCTGACGGGGGGGCCCAGGGGCTTCTGCAGCCTGCCCTCAGCCCTTGTTCAATGCCTGCTGACTTCTAAGTTTCTGGGCTTTGGCCCAGCTGGAAGTGAAACATCTCTGTGTCTGTTCTATCAGGACCCCCTAACCCCTTGTGTGACCCCCAAGTCTCAGTGGCAGGACAAGGCACCCAAGAGCCAGGCTCAGCAACTCTGGGACTAAGAGGCCCTCAGGGAGGGAAGGCCCTGGGTGGTGTGCCTGGGCCAGGTGCTGGCCACTGGAAATGCCCAGTGAATGGTGTAGACAAACTGGTAAGGTGTGGCCATGGTGTAAGGGGAATTATGGACAAACGGATGAATGTGAGAGCCAGCATGGACCCCTAGTGTCCTGTCAGCCACATCTTCCCCGATGTTTATGTATGTCCCAGGGGCACCGCTTATTATCAGCTCCCCTAGCAGGCTTTTTTTTTTTTATTTTTGACAGGCAGAGTGAACAGTGAGAGAGAAAGAGACAGAGAGAAAGGTCTTCCTTTGCCGTTGGTTCATCCTCCAATGGCCGCCGTGGCCGGCACGCTGTGGCAGGCACAGCACGCTGATCCAAAGGCAGGAGCCAGGTGCTTCTCCTGGTCTCCCATGGGGTGCAGGGCCCAAGCACTTGGGCCAACCTCCACTGCACTCCCAGGCCACAGCAGAGAGCTGGCCTGGAAGGGGGGCAACAGGGACAGAATCTGGCACCCCGACCGGGACTAGAACCCAGTGTGCTGGCACCGCAGGCGGAGGATTAGCCTATTGAGCCACGGCGCCCGCCCCCCAGCAGGCTTTTGTTCTCTGGTTCGTGAACTTAGGTCCCGACATCCACCTGGCTGCCCAAGCTGGGGTCCTCTCAGGAGAAGGCCACCCTTTCTGCGTTATGGGGAGGGTTAGGGGACTCCCAAGAACCCAGCAGCATGGCCACTGATTAATATATTAATAATTAATATCAATTAATGGTAGTAATATTAATAATTATTGTTAATATGTATTGTTATTTATTAATATTTCTTTCAATTATTAAAATTCCAATCAGTAAAAAGCATGTGAGACCGGAGATAAAATTCCAAACAGAAAGCCAGATCTTCAAAGGGGTTGAAGTTCAAGTGTTGGAAGCAGCATTGTCATTCAAACTCGTTTTTAAGTTGCGCTTCATGCTTGTTTATTTGGAAGTTAGAGAGATGGACAGAGATCTCCCACCCACTCATTCATTCCCCAAATGCCCTCCTCAAGTCAAGAAACCAAGAAGTGAACAGAGGTGTCCTGCAAGAGAGGGAGGCAGGGACCCAAGTACCTGAGCCACCACTTCTGCCTCTTCGGTGCTCATTAGCAGGGAGCTGGACTCAGGAGCAGAGCCGGAACCCCACACCCCAGCCATCTGGTATGGGATATGGGGGCATCCCAATAGCTAAGCCAAATGCTCCCTCCCTAAGGACCCCTTTCTAAGCAGATAACAAAGCACAGAAGCCAACAATGGGAAAGAATGATTGATCCAGCCTTACATTTGTATAGCACACACACCCAACCCACAAAGTCACAAGCTGAGCAGGAACACGGCATCAGCTTGAATATACTTGGCAAAAGACTAACTTCCCTTTAATGAAAAAAAAAAGCTCTTTAAAATACAAAAAGGAAGAAATCATTTCCTCAGTCGTCCTGTCTCCCATTGAGAAGATGGTACGCCCAAAGGAACCAACAGCCCAGCTTGGCCACGTGTTACTTGTTTGAAAGTCATTGGCCTGTGTGCGGCCTCTCTGCACCTGGCCCTGAGACACCACCACCCGCTGCTTGTCTTGCATCCAAATTGGAGCACTGACATCCAAAGGAAGTTGGGCCACAGAGAACAGAGGGACACCTACAGCCTGCCCTGTGCATTCCACAGAGCTGGATGGGAACACAGGCACTGTGAGCCCAGATCTTCTCCTGGGGAGGGTGGGCTGGGTGGACGGGACAGGGAAAGTGATGTTTGCTGAAGGCTGTGATGCATGCGAACCCACAAGCTCCAACCATCGCTGGCTCCCTTGGGGCTGTCAGTGAGCCCTGGCAGAGGCATGGGCCTTCCCCAGTGACGTGGGGGAGAGGAAGGAGCCCCTGGGGCCTCCTGAGAAGCCTTCCATCTTCCGTGTACTGTGGGGTCATCAGGACCCACAGGCACTGGGTACCGTGGCCCCAAGCCTTTTCTTGTGCTCACACCTGTAGGAGTCGCAGGACCCCCAGGAAGAGCCCAGCAGGTGGATCTCACTGAGAGTGTCCTCCCAGGGGTCCGTCAGGGAGTGAGCAGAGTCCTGCTCTGTGCTAATGAGCAGGAGGATCTTATAACAGCATTATTGAGATGTAACTCATGTACCAGGCAATTCACCCAGTAATAGCAGGTATAATTCAGTGCTTTTAGTATATTCAAGTTTTATATCCAAGTCATGCTAATTTCTAGCATTGTTATTTACTTATTTTATTTATTTGAAAGGCAGAGAGAGAGAGAGATTCCCCATCCTCTGATTCACTTCCCAAATGCCTACAATAGCCAGGACTGGGCCAGGCTGAAACCAGGAGTTGGAAACTCAATCCAGATCTCCCAACAGGGATGGCGGAGACCCAGCTACTTAAATTATCACCAGCTGCTTCCCAGGGTGTGCATTAGTAGGGAGCTGGAATCAGGAGTGGAGTCAAGATTCAGACCCAGGCTCTTTGATATGGGATGTGGCTGCCCAAGTGGTGTCTTAGCCACTGTGCCAAATGTCACCCCCAACACACACAACTGTAGAACACTTCCATTGCCCTATAAAAGAAACCCCACATACTCCTTAGTGATCAGCCCCCAAATTCTCCATCCCCATCCAACCCCGGGCAACCACTCATCTACTTGCTTGCTGTATAGATGTATGTGTTCTCATCGTTTTGTGTAAATAGACCCAAGCTGTGTATCATCTTCTGTGGTTGGCTTCTCTCAGTATGTTTTCAAGGTTCATCTACCTTGTGCTGCTACTGTATTTCTTTTTGCAGCTAAATAATCATCAATTGATGAGCATGTGGGTTGTCTCTACTTTGGGGCTACAATGAGGCATACCGTGCTGACTGTCCCACGCAAGCTGTGTGTAGACACACGTTTTTATTCCTCTGGTATGGGTATCAAGGGGTGACATTATGGAGTCATGTGACAATTCTGGGTTTAACTTTTTTTTTTTTTTTTGACAGGCAGAGTGGACAGTGAGAGAGAGAGACAGAGAGAAAGGTCTTCCTTTTTGCAGTTGGTTCACCCTCCAATGGCCACCGCGGCCAGCACGCTGCAGCCAGCACACCGCGCTGATCCGAAGGCAGGAGCCAGGTACTTCTCCTGGTCTCCCATGGGGTGCAGGGCCCAAGCACTTGAGCCATCCTCCACTGCACTCCCTGGCCACAGCAGAGAGCTGGCCTGGAAGAGGGCAACCGGGACAGAACTCGGCGCCCCGACCGGGACTAGAACCCGGTGTGCCGGCGCCGCAAGGCGGAGGATTAGCCTAGTGAGCCACGGCGCCGGCCTGGGTTTAACTTTTTGCAGAATTCCCAGGGGCTTTTCCAAGTGGCCACCCCATTTTACATTCCCACCAGCAGTGAGTGAAGATTCTAACATTTCTACAACCTTGCAACACCTGCCATCTCTCTTTTTGACCCTAACCAGCCTAGTGAGAAAAGCAGTCAGAATTTGACAAATGCAAAACAAGCAATCTTAATTTCCATAATAGCAAAGAGCTCTTAAAAGTATTGGGGGGGAGGGACAGCATTGTGGTGTAGCAGGTAAAGCCACTGCCTGCAGTGCCGGCATCCCATATTGGTGCCAGTTTGAGTCCCGGCTGCTCCATTTCCAATCCAGCTCTCTGCCATGGCCTGAGAAAGCAGTGGAAGATGGCTCAAGTGCTTGGGCCCCTGTACCTGCTGGCGCAGCTCTGGCCGTTGTGACCAATTGGGGAATGAACCAGCAGCTGGAAGACCTCTCTCTCTCTCTCTCTCTGTAACTCTTCCAAATAAATAAATAAATCTTTTTTTTTTTAAAAGAAGTATCTTTTAAGGATTTCTTTATTTTGAAAGGCAGAGTTACAGAGAGAAAGGGAGAGACGAGAGAGAGAAAGACCTTCCATCTGCTGGTTCATTCCCCAAACAGCTGGGACTGAGCCATCCAGGTCTCCCACACTGGTGGCAGAGGCCCAAGTACTTGGGCCATCTTCTGCTGCCTCCCCAGGGAGCGGAATCAGGTGTAGAGCAGCTGGGAATCGAACTGGCACTCATATGGGTTGCCAACATTGCAGGTGGCGGCTTAACCCACTGCAGCACGGCGCCAGCCTCACAAGAATCCAATAGAAAATCTGGAGGAAAGTCATGAACACACAAATCGCAGAAGGAGGAACAGAAGCTTCTCCACCACACCTGTGCAAATACATTCTACTTCCTCGACTACTGAAACCAAAATTAACTGACAATGAGATGTCACTGTTCTCCTACACACTGGGGGAAGATTTAAACTTGACCTTGTCAGACTATTTAAATTACAATGTCAGATCCGTAAATTCCCTTCACATAATATTGGCGGAGTGGGGATCCAGCAGTCTTCGCTAACACTGATTGACTTAGTAATTTCTGTTAAACATTTAAAACTTATGTACCATCAACATGATGTTTTGATTCTAGGATTTTTATCCCACAGAAATATTTGTCTTCATGCACAAAGCTGGCTGAAAAGTATCCACTGTAACATTGCTTTTAATAGTAAAAAGTCTAGGAGGCCGGAGCTGTGGCGTAGCAGGTAAAGCCGCCGCCTGCAGTGCCAGCATCCCATATGGGCAAGGGTTCAAGTTCCAGATGCTCCACTTCCGATTCAGGTCTCTGCGATGGCCTGGGATAGCAGTAGAA